AGTTTTCTAGTTTATTGTGCACCCATTAACCCCTCCTGTGGGCGGGAGCACGAGAAAACATATGGATACACAAGAGGCCCAGGAAACTAGGCCCCAAAGGGTTTTAAAAGGAAAACATATGGGGTTTTTATTAAATTTTTTAATAGGTTTACTTAAATTTTTACCAGAAAAAAAGATGCCAGATTACTAAGCAAATTTAGGGGAAAAATTTTCCCTTTGTATATTTGGTTTTCTTATTTTTATTAATAAGATATCTTGGGCAAGGGGAAAATAGGTTATTTTACTGTCTGTCTTTTGTATTTTTTCAATAAGTGGACAATTAAAACATAGTGTTTTAAGACAGTGCCTTTTTGCCTGATCACATTAAATTTTTCCTTTTTTTAGTTTTAAAACCCCTTCCCCCCCCCTCTTTTGTCTCCCAAACCCGCCAGAAGTACCTTTTAACCAGCCTAAGGGCCCGGGGCCCCTACAAAATCAGGGCAGTACTTGTAACCAAGCCCCAAGTTGGCCACTACAAATCCCGTCAGTTCTTGTTTTTCCGCCTAAGCCCCCCCTTTGGCCCCTACAACAACAGTCAAATACTTTTTAAACCCAAACCCGTCTGGCCCTTTCAACAACAGTCAGTTCTTGTAACCCAAGGGGCCCCAAGTCTGGCCACTACAAACCCAAAAGTCGGTTTCTTGGAACCCAAACCTAAGTTGGCCCCCTACAACAACCGTCAGGTTTCTTTTAACCAAGCCTAAATCTGGCCACTACAAAAAATCAGTCAGGGCTGTTCACAAATTTCAAGTTGGGTCCCTAAAAAATAAAATCTACGTTTATGTTACATAGTGGGTTAAGAAATTTCTCAGGCTTTAAAATGCCCTTCCTATAACAATTTTTTTTCATTATTTACTTCCCCTCCTAAATTATTCCAAAAGCTAGACACGTTAACCCAAAATTATATTCTACATTTCCTTCTCGATTTTTTCTTGGGTCCTATCAACTTTATCATGAAGGAGTAATCCAATGTGTGAGGGGATTTCATAGCAATTGTACATTAATTCCTTTGTCCCTAATTTTTGAGTATCTATACCTGGCTTCCCCAATGAGCATGTTGTTGGAGTCATTATATGAGTCAAGAGCCTTCAATGATGACATAGAATCAGTAATGATGATAGTCAAGCTCAGTGTCATAGGTTAGCTTTAGCGCCATTAGGATTGCAAACAATTCAGTTTGCAGTGTAGACGCCCAGTTGTTAATTCTTATGCCTAACTCAACAAATTTATTATGGTTCTTAACTAGGGAGGTGGCAACAAGAGCAGATGCAGCCCTGCCAGAAGACTCCTGTTTAGATCCATCAGTGTATATAACTTGTGATAACTTATTACTACCAGCTAGGTGAGAAATTTCTTCTTGAGCAGTTGCTCTAACAAGAGATTTAAGGAAGGGATTACTAGCAATGAGCTTCTTGGGAGGGACTTGTAGGTATGTGATATTAAATGAACACATCTTCCATGGAGGGGTGAAATGCTCTTGTTGCCTACAGTGATACAGTTCATGCACGTTATAAAACTTAATGCAATTGCACGTTTTCACAATCCATTTAGATCTGTGTGTATTTACCTCTAGACACTTGGTAAGATTCACTGTGACAGTGTCTGGTTCGTTTCTCAACATTCTAATACCGAGTACAGTGTTAATTTCAACAATCCTATCACTGATACTAGAAATACCAAGCTCCTTCCTCATGTTAAGAACTTTTGTAGATCTGGGACAGCAAAGAATAATCCTGAGAGCTTCATTTTGCATTAACTCCAAGGGTCGGAGAGAACTTTCTCTAGCTAATATCAACATGGGAGCAGCATAATCAATTAAGGACCTAACATAGGCTATGTACATCATTCTCACGATTCTCACATTAGCACCATAGTTGGGATTGTAGCCAGCAACAGCTTTGAGAGCATTTAGCCTAGCTTTACATTTCTTGTTTAGTTGTGGTATAGTGGATTTGTTAAAGGGCACATCTACACCAAGATATCTGTAAGTTTTAACGTAGATAATGATTTCACCCTGCAAATAGATGGGTGGGGAATGTCGTTTGCTTGTTAATATCTTAGTTTTAGAGGAAGATATTATGAGGCCTAGTCGATTACAAATTGCTTGAACTTCATTAAGAATGGTATTCATCTTCTTATGCCCTGTTATCACTAGTGAGAAGTCGTGAATCTTCACAACTGCGGTATTCTTCACACCAGCTCCTGGGCTGAGGGACTAATTACCTCCTCTTTTGTATATAGTTCTACAGTCTTCACATTATGTCCTAGAATTTATATTGATAGTCACTGGATGGCGAAACATCTACAATAAAGACACCCAGATGGTTCACATTATTTTAGTCTCTCCTTGTCAGCTCTTGTTCGTGAGCTGTGGACTGACATTGTCACGGTATTGTCACACTTGTCCCTTTTCCTGGACATTGACTCTTATCTATAAAGCATAATTACCTGGAGTATATCTGGAAGGTATACTCCTGGTCATGGACCAGTCCATGACCTGTCCTCGAGATGGATCAGGACCTGATCAACCAGGCCACTACTGTCTATTACTGTAAGTCTATTCAGATACACAAAAGGACAATTATCATACATAAAATGATGTATGTGTAAATTATCCACCAGAATGACACATAAAAGGCAAAGTAACTTAATTCCATTGTATCATTGTACCAATGTTGGTGGGTAAGGTGTTGTCGAGTGAGGTGCAGCATCTGCCAGTGTCTGAGTAAAGCCTCGGTCTGATCCAACACTAGATTACTAGCATACACTGCCCCGTTGTTGTGTGATCAGGGAGGTAGTGCAGTGGTTGGTGTTGTGGTGGGTGAGTAGAGGTGTAGTGGTTGGTGCTGTGGTGGGTGAGTAGAGGTGGTGTAGTGGTTGGTGTGATGGGAAAAGTAGGTGGTAGTGGTGGTATTTGTAGCAGTGGTGGGTGTAAGATAAGTCAGGATTGGCTGGCTGGTTGAGACAACACTACAGTGACCTTCGTGATTATAACTGTCATGCACATGCGAAGCCAGTGTTGATGCGGCCACTTTTACAAGGCTGGGAACGAAAGCAAACACACACACACACACACACACACACACACACACACACACACACACACACACACACACACACACACACACACACACCACTCATTAAACTACAGACCAGTGTCACTGAAGTGTACAGTAGCAAAGTCATAGAGAAGATTATCGGGAAAGAGTGTTGAAGCTCCTAGAAAGGAATGAGTTTATTCACAACAACTAGCACGAATTCAGGGACGGGAAATCCTGTCACACTCCTACTGGAGTTCTATTTCAGGGTGACAGCAGGAAGCAGAGAGAGGAGAGAGAGGGAGAGAGAGGGAGAGAGGGAGAGAGAGAGAGGAGGGGGAGAGAGAGGAGGGGAGAGAGAGGGAGGGGGAGAGAGAGGGAGGGGGAGAGAGAGGGAGGGGGAGAGAGAGGGAGGGGGAGAGAGAGGGAGGGGGAGAGGAGGAGGGGAGAGAGAGGGAGGGGGAGAGAGGGAGGGAGAGGGAGAGAGGGAGGGAGAGGAGGAGGGAGGGTGGGTGGGTGGGTAGGTAGGTAGACTGCATTTTCTTGGACTCTAAGAAGGCTTTTGACACAGTTCCACACACGAGCTGCAAAAGCTGGAGGACCAGGCAAGGATAACAGGAAAGGCACTACAATGGATCAATAAATACCTGACAGGGAGACAACAGCGAGTCATGGTATGTGACAAGGCGTCAGAGTGGGCGCCTGTGACGAGCGGGGTTCCACAGGGGTCCCCTCAAGGAAGGTTCCTTGATGTTGGTGAGGGGCTCTTGATTTAGGGAATTGGATCTGTGCTCCAGTTCCCCGAATTAAGCCTGAATGCCTTCCACATCCCCCCCCCGCAGGCGCTGTATAATCCTCCAGGTTTAGCGCTTCCCCCTTGATTATAATAATAATAATAATCCACAGGGGTCAGTCCTAGGACCGGTGCTGTTTCTGGTATATGTAAATGACATGACGGAAGGGATGGATTCAGAAATATCCCTGTTGGCAGACGATGTGAAGCTAATGCAGAGAATTCAATCGGATGATCAAGAGAACTACAAAGGGATCTGGACAGGTTGCAAGCCTGATCCAGCAACTGGCTCCTGGAGTTTAACCCCACCAAGTGCAAAGTAATGAAGATTAGAGGAAAGAAGACTGCAGACAGAGTGCATCTAGGTGGCCAAAGACTGCAAACCTCACTCAAGGTAAAAGATCTTGGGGTGAGTATAGAACACATCTGAGGCGCACATCATTCAGATAACTGCTGCAGCATATGGGCGCCTGGCAAACCTAAGTATAGCGTTCAGATTCCTCAGTAAGGAATTGTTCAAGATTCTGTACACCGTGTACTTCAGGCCCATACTGAAGTGGTACCAGTGTGGTGGGGGTGGTGGTAGTAGCAGCAGCAGCAGCAGTGTGAGGGGGGGGGGGGGGGGTAGAGTGGTTGATGGTGGTAGTGTGGTTCTATTAGGCAAAATTAAATTGCAATTATAATAATAAGGTCAGGTAAGTTTTCTAAGGTTCTTTTGGTACAAAGTTATTAATTTTTACATTAACATGAATGAAAAAATACTTTTAAACGTATGAGAAAATTTTAGAAAGAACTTTAGTGTTGCTATATATATATATATATATATATATATATATATATATATATATATATATATATATATACATAGGTACTCAAGAAACTAAACAGATTATTTGATGCACTCTGAGAATGATTTTTTGATCTTCAGAATTGTAATTGTTTGAAAATCTTACTTTATATACACAGCTTCATGTGTGGTACGAACATTCCCATACAGATGCTGACGCTGCTGCAACTGCTGACTACATCAGGGAGGTGCTAGCGTCAACAACAACAGTACACGTCCAGGACGTGTCGAAAACGCCTACCATACACGTCCTAGTCTTGTTCTGTACAGGTTAGCCACAAGAATGGCTCCACAACAAGACAAGACATCAACGGAAGCATCAACTGCTGTGACACTGACCATCAATGACCACACATACACAGGTGAGTAACTATCAACACATGTTAATGGGGTTTAAAGTCTACTACACTGAGGTATACACATCAGTGCATACACACGGAGATATACACAGCAGAGTACATACACAAGTCATGGTGGGTGAGGTAAACCAGTACGGGCAACAAGGGCCTTCAAGGTGATGGTGATACATTACATCCGGGAGGTGGTAGGAGATAATGGGTAGGAGGGGTAAGGGGTGGGGGTGAAGAGTAAGGGGAAGGGGTAGGGATAAGGGGTAGGGGGTAAGTGGTAGTGGTATACCTGAGTATACCTGGAGAGAATTTCTGGGATCAACGCCCCCGCGGTCCGGTCTGTGACCAGGCCTCGTGGTAGATCAGGGATTGATCAACCAGGCTGTTAATACTGGCCGCATATAGACCGACGTACGAACCACAACCCAGCTAGTCAGGTAATGATATATTGTTTAGACTTTTGAAGTGAGATCCTCTGACATTATCACTCCCAGGTCCTTCACATTAGTTTTTCGCTCTGTTGTGTGATCGGAATATGTTTTATACTAAGATATAGTTTAAATTTCCTCACATTTTCCATAGCAGAATAATTGAAAATTCTCTTCATTGAACTTCACATTGTTTTTTGCGAACCATTTAAAAATTTGGTTGATGTCCGCCTGGAGTCTTGCAGTGTCTTCGACAGATGACACTGTCATGGCAGTCCGGGTGTCATCTGCAAAGGAAGACACGGTGTTGTGGCTGACATCTTTGTTAGTGTCAGATATAAGGATGAGGAACAGGATGGGAGCGAGTACTGTGCCTTGTGGAACACTGGGAGCCAGTACTGTGCCTTGTGGAACACTGGGAGCCAGTACTGTGCCTTGTGGAACACTGGGAGCGAGTACTGTGCCTTGTGGAACACTGGGAGCGAGTACTGTGCCTTGTGGAACACTGGGAGCGAGTACTGTGCCTTGTGGAACACTGGGAGCCAGTATTGTGCCTTGTGGAACACTGGGAGCCAGTATTGTGCCTTGTGGAACACTGGGAGCCAGTACTGTGCCTTGTGGAACACTGGGAGCCAGTACTGTGCCTTGTGGAACACTGGGAGCCAGTACTGTGCCTTGTGGAACACTGGGAGCCAGTACTGTGCCTTGTGGAACACTGGGAGCCAGTACTGTGCCTTGTGGAACACTGGGAGCCAGTACTGTGCCTTGTGGAACACTGGGAGCCAGTACTGTGCCTTGTGGAACACTGGGAGCCAGTACTGTGCCTTGTGGAACACTGGGAGCCAGTACTGTGCCTTGTGGAACACTGGGAGCCAGTACTGTGCCTTGTGGAACACTGGGAGCCAGTACTGTGTCCTTGTGGAACACTGGGAGCGAGTACTGTGCCTTGTGGAACACTGGGAGCCAGTACTGTGCCTTGTGGAACGCTGGGAGCCAGTACTGTGCCTTGTGGAACGCTGGGAGCCAGTACTGTGCCTTGTGGGAACGCTGGGAGCCAGTACTGTGCCTTGTGGGAACGCTGGGAGCCAGTACTGTGCCTTGTGGGAACGCTGGGAGCCAGTACTGTGCCTTGTGGGAACGCTGGGAGCCAGTACTGTGCCTTGTGGAACGCTGGGAGCCAGTACTGTGCCTTGTGGAACGCTGGGAGCCAGTACTGTGCCTTGTGGAACGCTGGGAGCCAGTACTGTGCCTTGTGGAACGCTGGGAGCCAGTACTGTGCCTTGTGGAACGCTGGGAGCCAGTACTGTGCCTTGTGGAACGCTGGGAGCCAGTACTGTGCCTTGTGGAACGCTGGGAGCCAGTACTGTGCCTTGTGGAACGCTGGGAGCCAGTACTGTGCCTTGTGGAACGCTGGGAGCCAGTACTGTGCCTTGTGGAACGCTGGGAGCCAGTACTGTGCCTTGTGGAACGCTGGGAGCCAGTACTGTGCCTTGTGGAACGCTGGGAGCCAGTACTGTGCCTTGTGAAACGCTGGGAGCCAGTACTGTGCCTTGTGGAACGCTGGGAGCCAGTACTGTGCCTTGTGGAACGCTGGGAGCCAGTACTGTGCCTTGTGGAACGCTGGGAGCCAGTACTGTGCCTTGTGGAACGCTGGGAGCCAGTACTGTGCCTTGTGGAACGCTGGGAGCCAGTACTGTGCCTTGTGGAACGCTGGGAGCCAGTACTGTGCCTTGTGGAACGCTGGGAGCCAGTACTGTGCCTTGTGAAACGCTGGGAGCCAGTACTGTGCCTTGTGGAACGCTGGGAGCCAGTACTGTGCCTTGTGGAACGCTGGGAGCCAGTACTGTGCCTTGTGGAACGCTGGGAGCCAGTACTGTGCCTTGTGGAACGCTGGGAGCCAGTACTGTGCCTTGTGGAACGCTGGGAGCCAGTACTGTGCCTTGTGGAACGCTGGGAGCCAGTACTGTGCCTTGTGGAACGCTGGGAGCCAGTACTGTGCCTTGTGGAACGCTGGGAGCCAGTACTGTGCCTTGTGGAACGCTGGGAGCCAGTACTGTGCCTTGTGGGAACGCTGGGAGCCAGTACTGTGCCTTGTGGAACGCTGGGAGCCAGTACTGTGCCTTGTGGAACGCTGGGAGCCAGTACTGTGCCTTGTGGAACGCTGGGAGCCAGTACTGTGCCTTGTGGAACGCTGGGAGCCAGTACTGTGCCTTGTGGAACGCTGGAGCCAGTACTGTGCCTTGTGGAACGCTGGGAGCCAGTACTGTGCCTTGTGGAACGCTGGAGCCAGTACTGTGCCTTGTGGAACGCTGGGAGCCAGTACTGTGCCTTGTGGAACGCTGGGAGCCAGTACTGTGCCTTGTGGAACGCTGGGAGCCAGTACTGTGCCTTGTGGAACGCTGGGAGCCAGTACTGTGCCTTGTGGAACGCTGGGAGCCAGTACTGTGCCTTGTGGAACGCTGGGAGCCAGTACTGTGCCTTGTGGAACGCTGGGAGCCAGTATCTGTGCCTTGTGGAACGCTGGGGAGCAGTACTGTGCCTTGTGGGAACGCTGGGAGCCAGTACTGTGCCTTGTGGAACGCTGGGAGCCAGTACTGTGCCTTGTGGAACGCTGGGAGCCAGTACTGTGCCTTGTGGAACGCTGGGAGCCAGTACTGTGCCTTGTGGGAACGCTGGGAGCCAGTACTGTGCCTTGTGGAACGCTGGGAGCCAGTACTGTGCCTTGTGGAACAGTTTTCACTGTATCATCTTCAGACTTTATTATTCTGTTTACTGTTACTCTGTGTTCTATTTGTTAGGAAGTTATAGATCCATCTACCAACTTTTCTTGTTATTCCTTTATCACGCATTTTGTGTTATTACACCATGGTCACACTTGGCGAAGGCTTTCGCTAAGTCTGTGTATACTATATCTGCATTTTTTGTCCTCTAGAGCATCCAAGACCATGTTATAGTGGTCCAGTAGTTGTGAGAGGCAGGAGAGACCATCCAAGACCATGTCATAGTGGTCCAGTAGTTGTGAGAGGCAGGAGCGACCATCCAAGACCATGTCATAGTGGTCCAGTAGTTGTGAGAGGCAGGAGCGACCATCCAAGACCATGTTATAGTGGTCCAGTAGTTGTGAGAGGCTGGAGCGACCATCCAAGACCATGTCATAGTGGTCCAGTAGTTGTGAGAGGCAGGATAGACCATCCAAGACCATGTCATAGTGGTCCAGTAGTTGAGAGGCAGGATAGACCATCCAAGACCATGTCATAGTGGTCCAGTAGTTGAGAGGCAGGATAGACCATCCAAGACCATGTTATAGTGGTCCAGTAGTTGTGAGAGGCAGGAGCGACCATCCAAGACCATGTCATAGTGGTCCAGTAGCTGTGAGAGGCATGAGCGACCATCCAAGACCATGTCATAGTGGTCCAGTAGTTGTGAGAGGCAGGAGCGACCATCCAAGACCATGTCATAGTGGTCCAGTAGTTGTGAGAGGCAGGATAGACCATCCAAGACCATGTCATAGTGGTCCAGTAGTTGAGAGGCAGGATAGACCATCCAAGACCATGTCATAGTGGTCCAGTAGTTGAGAGGCAGGATAGACCATCCAAGACCATGTTATAGTGGTCCAGTAGTTGTGAGAGGCAGGAGCGACCATCCAAGACCATGTCATAGTGGTCCAGTAGCTGTGAGAGGCATGGGCAACCTGCTGTAAACCCATGTTGCCCTGGGTTGTGCAGCTGATGGGTAGGGGTAAGTGGTAGTGGTAAAGGTTACTGGAAAGTGTTAGTGGTAAGGGGTATTGGAAATGGATTGTGGTAGCGGGTAAGGGGGACGTGTAGGGGGGGTAACTGGTTTTCCAGGTAATATGACTCTTGTGAGATACGACCTTGATGTTCCTTGTGAGGATACAAGAAGAGAGGGAGGGACGGGGACAGGACGGGGACGGGGACCGACGGGAGAGGAGTGAAGGTCAGTACTGAAGTAACATTACACTACATAACTAAGACACGAGTCCTTGCTAGTACTCTACTACTAGTACTCTACTACTAGTACTTACCAGTAACTGACACTACCACTAGTCCTCTATTAGAACTAGTAGTCACCAGTAACTATTACTCTAGCACTAATATTCACTACTAACTAGTACTAGTAGACCACTAGTACTCTATCAGTACTAGCAGTAACTAGTACTCTTCCACTAGCACTCACCAGTAACTAATTAGTACTCTCACTTGTACTAGTGGGACCCGAGGTACCATCTGGGACCCGACTAGTGGACTTCTACGACACAAGATTCAGCTTGTGGGGACCAAGACTCTTTGTCGTGAGGGAGGCTGTGGTTTGTGTACTGTCGTGGCCACCGTACCTGACCATGAAACTCCTGGTCGAACTAAAACCATCAGTGTCCAGGCCGTAAGTGTCTTTATTGATGAATAACACAAGTGTACAATACCTGGGTGTGTGTATTGATGAATGAAACGAATGTACAACACCTGGGTGTCTTTATTGATGAATAAGACTCATGTACAACACCTGGGTGTCATTATTGATGAATAAGACGCATGTACAACACCTGGGTGTCTTTATTGATGAATAAGACACATGTATAACATACATATTCAGTAGTAATAGAAATATAACAGTAATAGTAGAAATAGTGATAGTGGTAGCAAAAGCAGCAATGATAGCAGTAGTAGTAATAGTAGTGGTTGAAATAGTAGTATAGTAGTAGAAACTGTAGTATAGTAGTAATAGAAATAGTATAGTAGTATTATTATCAAATAAAGTGCTAAACACACACGGGTCGTGCAGCGGTGCAGTGCAGAAAATTGTGGCGGGGCTATAAACAGCTAGGTAGAGAGGGTATTATAGGCGAGGGGAGAAAAGAGCTGGAAGGGACACGAAGGGCTGTCAAAGTTCGTACAGTAAAGCAGTTGCTGACAAAGTCAAAAAGTGATGGTAATTCCAAGGCAGAACCGTCTGCAAAAATGGAAGACAAGGTAAGAGCAGTAGGACGGCAGCGTCGGTGGAGGTAAGTCCTGCGAGTTTGCTGGTAAACCAGACAATCCACAAGAAAGTAAAGAACCAAAATAGGAACCCGACAAACCTCAGAGAAGAATAGGGTGTCATTCCATGAGATACCGATGGGTGAGGCGAGTACGGCTGATGCGGAGACGAGAGAGCACAGTCACACCAGTACAGCAGCAGTGGTAAGAAGACGGCCACAAACCCAAAAGCAGTTTAGTAGTGTAATTTATGGTGCATGTCCGATCACCGTTGTTGCCAACGGCCATGAAGATGGTCAGACGTGACTAAAATAATCCCTGAATGGAATACCTCTACAGGAAACCGGTGGCTTAGCGCTTCTTTTTATTATAATAATAATAATAATAATAATAATAATAATAATACAGGAAACCAGAAGATCAGTCACCACTGACCGTGTAGCAGCATCTTGTGCATTGCCCGGCACATCAACGTGTCCAGGGACCCAACAGAAAACGACATCTTTGCTATTGCTATCCACACGGTACAACCAAATTTAAATGCGAAGAACCAATGGATGAGGGGAATTAAATTGTTTAATGGCCTGTAAAGCACTGAGGGAATCTGAAATGATCACAAACGCCGAAGGAGACATGTGATACGGAGAAGCGCCAGGAGTATGGCATACAACTCGGCGGTATAAATACTAGCCGAGTCAAACAAATGACCCCGGACAACATCGTCAGGGAACACCGCCACAAACCCAACACAGTCAGATTTGGAGCCATCTGTATGAACCGACGGCACGAGCGTGTGACTGGAAGTGATCATGGAAAAAGAGCGAGGAGCAGCCATAGGTAGGAGAGCTTTGGCGTAAGGCAGTACGGGAGAACAGACACACACCATTGGAACCTCCCAAGGGGGAAGGGAAAAGGCAGACGCTACAAACATACAAAAGAGGCAAACTAGGGAAAAGACAGGAGTGAGTGGAAATGAAGAGAAAACAGTGAGTAAGCAGAGGTGCCGAACAAATAACTGGCTACTAATGTATGAGACCAACCTACACGAAAAATGAATACGAAGGTCGTGAGAGCGGACAAAGTAACGAAGGCAATGAGCATCATGACGATCAGCTATGGAAGGAACATTAACCTTAGCATAGAGGCCTTCAACAGGGGATGAACAAAAGGCACCAAGGCATAAACGTAAACCCTGATGATGTAGGGGATCTAACTTAGAGTTGTACAAGAAGCCGCAGAATAGACCTCGTTGACATAATCCAGCTTGGACAAGCCTAGGGTGGAATGCAAACTGAGGAGCGTCAGGCGATCTGCTCCAAATGAGCAATGCTCAAGAATTTTAAGAAGATTCAGCCGACCATGGCAAGCTGCCTTCAGAGAGGAAATGTGAGGTTTCCATGTCAACCGGTGATCGAATAGAAGGCCAAGAAACTTTACCGTATCACATTCTGGGACACGTGAGCCGTGTAAATACAATGGAATATCTGGGACAAGAGGACGTCTAGTGAAAGTAATGAAATGGGTTTTCGCACTAGAAAAATTAAATCCAGAAGTGGCCTAATGGGAAACTCGGTCAATCACATCGTGAAGGGAGGACGCTACCAGGTGACAGTCAGCGCCTGCGTAAACTATAGTGAAGTTATCCACATAAAGTGACGACCAAATATGCGATGGAAGAACGGAAGGGTAGTGCTGAGGACACAACCTTGGGGAACTCCCTCGGCCTGAACAAAGTCTGAGGAAAGCGAGGAGTCAACAGACATGAAAATGTTTTTCAGATAAAAAGCAGCAAGGAAGGTCGGTAGATTACCGCGGAGGCTCGAGGAGTGGGCCTGGGCTAAGATGTTCTGCCTCCAAGTGGTGCCATGTACCTTCTCGAGATCATAAGACTACTGGGACGGAGTGCTTATTAGCAAAGGCATGTCGCACATGTGTAGCTAAGTGGAACAAGGGGTCCACAGTAGAGCGGCCCTTGCGAAAACCACATTGACGAGGAGAAAGACTATTGTAAGTCTACAAATAACATTGAAATAAATGGTATAAAATACCGACACAATGGGAATAAACACACATGCAGTATAATGTAATCCTTTATTGACAACGTTTCGCCCACACTGGGCTTTTTCAAGTCACAAACAGATCTGTTTGTGACTTGAAAAAGCCCAGTGTGTGGGCGAAACGTTGTCAATAAAGGATCACATTATACTGCATGTGTGTTTATATCTCCAAATACCAGGCCCGGTGGCCTGGTGGCTAAAGCTCCCGCTTCACACGCGGAGGGCCCGGGTTCGATTCCCGGCGGGTAGAAACATTTCGACACGTTTCCTTACACCTGTTGTCCTGTTCACCTAGCAGCAAATAGGTACCTGGGTGTTAGTCGACTGGTGTGGGTCGCATCCTGGGGGACAAGATTAAGGACCCCAATGGAAATAAGTTACAGTCCTCGATGACGCACTGACTTTCTTGGGTTATCCTGGGTGGCTAACCCTCCGGGGTTAAAAATCCGAACGAAATCTTATCTTATCTTATATCAGACGTCTATTCACCAGTCGTTCCATCACCTTACAGACTACACTGGTCAGAGCAATGGGACAATAGTGAGAGGTATCAAGCCCCGAGGTGCCTGGTTTGTGAAATGGTAGTACAATGGCAGATTTCCATTGTTGAGAGAACCCCTTGTATCCAAACAAGATTGAAAAGACGCAAAAGGACTGTAAGATCTGAAAAATGTAGATGCTGTACATACGGATATGAATATCATCAGGCCCAGTTCCCGATGACCGGCAAATGGAAAGCGTGGACTCTAGCTCTAAGAGTGAAAGGTACGTTATACGGTTCTATCAAATGAGAAGAGAAATCCAAGGGAGATTGCTCCCTGGCAGGCTTAGAAGCGAGAAACGAGGGACAGAGGTGAAGCCCTTGGGAGACACGGTCAAGATAGTTCCCGATTTCTATGGCAACTTCAAGAGGTTCTGCAACGCTAACACCAGGGAGGTACATAGGGACTGGGTCCAGGGACTGGGCCCCGTTGTTTTGATAGCTGAACAAGTTACAAAATAATGAACCATTCACACGTCTACACCTGATCACAACTGCAATGAGCTATTAATGCAATTAGCTTTATTTACAGTAAACAGTCAGGGTATTAAGTATAGTACAGTTTACAACACTATTGTGGAAAATTGCATTTATCTGAATGTAACTAATTATGTACATAACAGTAAATGATAACAAAGATAATTATTATCAATGTTACATAGACAAGTAGGAATTTGGGACACCTAGGTCGCAAAAAATGTGCCCCTTCGATACCTACCACTGTCATAACCACAAGTTGCTCTGGACCTATTAATTAAATGAAATATACATACACCAGGGATACTGGTAAATATATAAATTTGTGGACTGTATATTAAAAATAATAAATGGTTATATACACAATTACATAACAGAAGGAAAATATATCTTAATATCACTCACCAATTTGACTGAAAATTAATGTGTATCATACTCAGAAAACCTCACTCTAACTAAATCTATGAAAATAATGCTGGCCAGAATTACACACAAATCTAGAGCTTATCTGAGGTTCCTGGAGCTGTCTTGTCCAGCCGTCTGATATCTCAAGTTATGCAGGAATGCACATCCACCAATTTCGCCTCCTATTTGAGAGGTGTCAACACAATTTTAACCTCTAGAGCACGAAAAATTCTTCCCATTACACCAACGTTTGTACAAAACTCGAAACCAAGATGGCGAGTCTACTTTTTTTCGATAACATACTTTTTAAAAATACAATATAGGGCATCTATTTACCTATAAATTACCGTATTTCCGGAAAATATATACAGTATTTTCCACAACTATGACTAAGGCACAGTGTGTCCTTCAGCACAAGTGGTATATCAGTTAGCTACAACGGTGGTGGTTTATATCTAGCTGGGGCACATCATGTCTAGCTGGGGCACATCATGTCTAGCTGGGGCACATCATGTCTTAGCTTCAAGTGGTGTCAGGGACGGTGTTCTTGCTGGCATGAGGTTTTCAACTCGCAAAAGTTCTGCTGTATTTGAGTCTTCCCTGGCACTCAGGCCGCAGTCTGAGTGCCAGAGCCACTCAGGAAATTATCCATGCATATGTTGAACATCTGATTACAACTGTGTAATTATAGAGGCCACTGGACATGTATATACAACTTCACAAAATCTCTAACCTCCCATACAGTGCCACTACTAACACTTCTCTCCCCCTACAGTGCCAGGCACTGCTGTACTCGTGCCATGGATGGTCCATCAGTACCATAGAGCACCTGGGTTCTAGGTACGATGGGTACCACCAGCTACAGAAAGCTCTACACGGCTTCTATGGTACACAGTGTGGATACTGCTCTCCTGGGATGATCATGACTATGTATGGGTATGTATACACGGTTCCTGCACCCATTATGTTCCTTTATAATGTTGAGGTACAGTCCCGGACCCATTATGTACCTCTGTAATGTTGGGTACAGTCCCTGGACCCATTATTGTTCGTAGATTAACCATCTTAAAGCCATGTTGTACTGGTGACATTTACAGACAGATGTCCACCAGTGGGACGCTGACAGCTGCACAGGTGGAGAAGTCCCTGGACGGAAACATCTGTCGGTGTACTGGTTATAGGCCTATACTGGATGCCTTCAAGTCCTTGGCTGTAGACGGTGACCCGGCCTTGAAGGAGAGACTTACTGACATTGAGGTAATAACAACCTTACGTTTGTCAGTTGGGAAGATACCTTAAACTATTACACGTATTTTATGTATAAATTCTGGAGGTGGGGAAGTAGTGTCTGTACTCTGAAGGATGAGTGAGGATGTTAGTCCAGATTATTATTATTATAATCAAGGGGGAAGCACTAAACCCGTAGGATTATACAGCGCCTATGGGGGGATGGAAGGCATTCAGGCTTAATTCAGGGAACTGGAGCACAGATCCAACTGGAGCACAGATCCACTTCCCTAGATCAAGAGCCCCTCACCAGCGTCAAGGAGCCTTCCTTGAGGGGATTAGTCCAGAGTCATCTGAACAGTGTTATCAACACTTCTTGAAAGATGGTAACTCATTGAATGATGGTGAATATTTATTTTTTAAAGAAATAATGTTGCAGGAAGCATACAAAGATGGCTGCCACAAGACAGGAGAATGCAAGGGTAAGTGTGGAAGGAAGCAGCCTGGAGGGATGTGCACTCACAGCAGTAAACTCGCCACCAGGCCAGCCTTGGTCCCTGTCCTCAATGGTCCATTCCTGACTGTAGACTCGGTCCGCTGGTACCATCCAGTCACTTTACAAGTAAGAATCGATTTCTGAAACTGTGTTCATTTGTACTTAGCCACATAAGTGAACATGAAATTCCATTATAAAATGAGCAGTGTGTGCGCGTTAGCTGCACAATTAATCTTCAGTATGTAACTAATTGAGAACAGTTGTTATATGGAAATAAATGGTATAAAATACCGACACAATGGCAATATAAACACAAATGCAGTATAATGTGATCCTTTATTGACTACGTTTCGCCCACACAGTGGGCTTTTTCAAGTCACAAACAGAACTACCTGGGGTGGAAGGAACGCGAGTATTTATAGTCCGGCTGAGGTCAGGTGAAGAATGCTGCATCTGATGATGTACCGAGTGGGGTTATAGAGTCTAAAAACTTGGGTAGCTTGGAAAGGAGATTGGATAAGTTTGTGAACAGACCTTCTACAGTGTTCTTATGTGGGATAGCGATGAAGAAGTTTCTTGGCAAGTGGTTCAGCTATGTTATAGAAGCCACTATTCTGGTTGAAGTTGTCGGATATAGAAATAAGTGATGATTCCAGGATTCTTCGGTATTGAGTGTTGTCTTCTGTGGCGATAAGTCTTGAGTTTCTGTAGTTTATCAAGTGGTTGTGTGAATTACGGTGTTGTACGCAGGCATTCCTTGTGTCGTCAGACCTGCTTGCGTATTGGTGTTCTGAAATACGTGTTTGGAGGTCCCTTGATGTTTCGCCCACGTATAACTTGTTGCAGTCATTACAAGGGATTATGTATACCCCTGCAGAGGATGGAGGCTTGTCCTGCCTACTACTGGTGATGTCCTTGATGGTCGTGGTTGTGGAGGTAGATACTTGGAATGATGTTTTGGCAAAGATGTTGGAAACATGTTTGGCAATGGAGTTGGTGGGAAGGACTATGTATCTCTTCTCGGCAGTGTCTTCTCAGAGACTGCAGACGGCGAGCATTAAACATCTTCAACACACCCAGAGAAGACACTGCCGAGAAGAGATACATAGTCCTTCCCACCAACTCCATTGCCAAACATGTTTCCAACATCTTTGCCAAAACATCATTCCAAGTATCTACCTCCACAACCACGACCATCAAGGACATCACCAGTAGTAGGCAGGACAAGCCTCCATCCTCTGCAGGGGTATACATAATCCCTTGTAATGACTGCAACAAGTTATACGTGGGCGAAACATCAAGGGACCTCCAAACACATATTTCAGAACACCAATACGCAAGCAGGTCTGACGACACAAGGAATGCCTGCGTACAACACCGTAATTCACACAACCACTTGATAAACTACAGAAACTCAAGACTTATCGCCACAGAAGACAACACTCAATACCGAAGAATCCTGGAATCATCACTTATTTCTATATCCGACAACTTCAACCAGAATAGTGGCTTCTATAACATAGCTGAACCACTTGCCAAGAAACTTCTTCATCGCTATCCCACATAAGAACACTGTAGAAGGTCTGTTCACAAACTTATCCAATCTCCTTTCCAAGCTACCCAAGTTTTTAGACTCTATAACCCCACTCGGTACATCATCAGATGCAGCATTCTTCACCTGACCTCAGCCGGACTATAAATACTCGCGTTCCTTCCACCCCAGGTAGTTCTGTTTGTGACTTGAAAAAGCCCACTGTGTGGGCGAAACGTAGTCAATAAAGGATCACATTATACTGCATTTGTGTTTATATTGCCACAGTTGTTATAGTTGGACTTAGTCATTAAGACTGGTTAGTTGGGGGATGGGGTTTGAAGTATAGGCTGGACAATTATACAAGTGTGTTTTGGGTGGGTGCAAGTTGGACCTGCCTAGCATGGGCCAGTAGGCCTACAGCAGTGCACAATAGCATCTCCTAAACTAATGAAATGTTGTTCATCATTGTTTCCAGGGGATCTACAATGCTTTGCAGACACTGGGGAAGAATGAGAAGTTCAGGCTAGTGGTTGGCAACACTGGACAAGGTACAGTGGTAGTATACACTGTTAAAATAGTGGTATTGTGCACTGTAAGGTACAGTAGGGTTACACTTGTATTATATATTGTACAAAGTATAGAAGTCTAGGTACAGTGATGATTGCCATTATAGTGTGACTTATTGTTCCAGTCATGGTACTGTTACTCACTGTTCATTTAGTGAACATCTCCCACTGCAGGTGTGTTCAAGAATGACGGACCGTACACTGCGTACATAGCGACCAGCGGCGTCAAGGAACTGTACACCGTGAACAACCAGTCACCCCTTGAACTGGGAGCCAACGTCAGTCTGACCAGAGCGATAGAAGTATTCCAGCACCTGGCGACTAGTGACCCTGGTTACTTGTACCTTAAAACCCTGGCTGACCACTGGCAGGTGGTGGCTAATGTATCAGTCAGGAATGTACGTTACTAGTAGACAATTTCTACTTCGTTCTGTTACTGGTAGATAATATCTGTAAGTAGATAAGATAGATGTTTGTGTAAGAATGGCTTCAGTCATCTCTCTTGCAAAGCTCTATTACAGTGATACAGTATTTTAAAATTAACCATGGAGTGGGTAGGAGTTGAACTCGTGGCAGGTGAACTCTGAGCCACAGGCCAGTGTTAACCACCTGGAGCCCTGCTTAACACACTTGCTATGGTTTCAAATCCCAGTCGTTCCCTGCTTTGTTTGTGATCGTGATGTTATGATTTCGTGAATTATTTCTTATTGATGCAACTGAAAAAGGTCATTGTAAATTGAACTTCACATGCAAAAGGCCTCTGTAGTTCATGCTGTTGAATTATGGACGTAATTTTTTGATTACTTATAGAGGAATTTTATAATTATTGTTAAAGGTGAGGGACTGACTTCCTGATCTTCTCCTCTACACTGCTGCTACTATCACCACCTGGATTACCCGGAGAGAGTTCCGGGGGTCAACGTCCCCACGGCCCAGTCTGTGACCAGGCCTCCTGGTGGATCAGAGCCTGATCAACCAGGCTGTTACTGCTGGCTGCACACAATCCAATGTACGAGCCACAGCCCGGCTGGTCAGGTACCGACTTTAGGTGCTTGTCCAGTGCCTGCTTGAAGACAGCCAGGGGTTACCTGGAGGTTATTCCGGGGATCAACACCCCCGCGGCCCGGTCCATGACCAGGCCTCCCAATGGATCAGGGCCTGATCAACTAAGCTGTTACTGCTGGCTGCACACAGTCCAACGTACGAGCCACAGCCCGGCTGATCCGGCACTGACTTTAAGTATCTGTCCAGCTCTCTCTTGAAGGCAGCCAGGGGCTTATTGGCAATTACCCTAATGCTTGATGGGAGGCTGTTGAACAGTCTTGGGCCCCGGACACTTATGGTGTTTTTCCTTAGTGTACCAATGGCACCCCTACTTTTAATTGGAGGCATTTTGCATCACCTGCCCGGTCTTTTACTTTCGTAGGGAGTGATTTCTGTGTGCAGATTTGGTAATCCCCCTTGCGTATGCTGGGAGGCAGGTGAACAGTCTCGGGCCCCTGACACTTATTGTATTGTCTCTTAACGTGCTGGTGACACCCCTGCTTTTCATTGGGGGGATGGTGCATCGTCTGCCAAGTCTTTTGCTTTTGTTGAGTGATTTTCGTGTGCAAGTTTGGTACTAGTCCCTCTAGGATTTTCCAGGTGTATGTAATCATGTATCTCTCCTGCCTGCATTCCAGGGAGTACAGGTTCAGGAACTTCAAGCGCTCCCAGTAATTGAGGTGTTTTATCTCCGTTATGCGTGCGGTGAAGGTTCTCTGTACATTTTCTAGGTCAGCAATTTTGCCTGCCTTGAAAGGTGCTGTTAGTGTGCAGCAATATTCCAGCCTAGATAGAACAAGTGACCTGGAGAGTGTCATCATGTGCTTGGCATCCCTAGTTTTGAAGGTTCTCATTATTCATCCTGCCATTTTTCTAGCAGATGTGATTGATACAATGTTATGGTCCTTGAAGGCGAGATCCTCCGACATGATCACTCCCAGGTCTTTAACGTTGGTTTTTCGCTCTATTTTATGACCGGAATTTGTTTTGTACTCTGATGAAGTTTTAATTTCCTCGTGTTTACCATATCGGAGTACATAATTGAAATTTCTCGTCGTTGAACTTCATACTGTTTTCTGCAGCCCACTGAAAGATTTGGTTGATGTCCGCCTGGAGCCTTGCAGTGTCTGCAATGGAAGACACTGTCATGCAGATTCGGGTGTCATCTGCAAAAGAAGACTGCTGTGGCTGACATCCTTGTCTGTCAGATATGAGGATGAGAAACAAGATGGGAGCGAGTACTGTGCCTTGTGGAACAGAGCATTTCACCGTAGCCGCCTCAGACTTTACTCTGTTTACTACTACTCTTTGTGTTCTGTTTGTGAGGAAATTATAGATCCATCTACCAACTTTTCCTGTTATTCCTTTAGCATGCATTTTGTGCACTATTACGCCATGGTCACACTTGTCGAAGGCTTTTGCAAAGTCTGTACATATTACATCTGCATTCATTTTATCTTCTACTGCATCTAGGACCTTGTCGTAGTGATCCAGTAGTTGCGACAGACAGGAGCGACCTGCTCTAAACCCATGTTGCCCTGGGTTGTGTAACTGATGGGTATCTAGTGGTGTTCTGATGGTGTTCTAGTGGTACACTTTGTAATTATTATTTTACTACATGTAAACCACACAATAACCAAATTCTGTAAACTCAGCATTGTAATCCTTATAGAGAATAAACTTTGAATTGAATTAGGTGGGTGGTGATCTTGCTTCTTAGGGCCCTTTCAAAGATTTTTATGATATGGGATGTTAGTGCTATTGGTCTGTAGTTCTTTGCTATTGCTTTACTGCAACCTTTGTGGAGTGGGGCTATGTCTGTAGTTTTTAGTAACTGGGACAACCCCCGTGTCCATGCTCCCTCTCCATAGGATGGTAAAAGCTCATGATAGGGGCTTCTTGCAGTTCTTGATGAATATGGAGTTCCATTAGTCTGGCCCTGGGGCAGAGTGCATGGGCATGTCATTTATCGCCTGTCCGAAGTCATTTGGCATCAGGATAACATCAGATAGGCTTGTGTTAACCAAATTCTGTGGCTCTCGTAAAAAATTTATTTTGATCTTCGACTCTGTCTGGTTAGCGGCTTGCTAAAAACTGAGTCATATTGGGACTTGAGTAGCTCACTCATTTCCTTGCTGTCATCTGTGTAGGACCCATCTTGTTTAAGTAGGGGCCCAATACTGGACGTTTTTCTCAACTTTGATTTGGCATAGGAGAAGAAATACTTTGGGTTTCTTTCAATTTCATTTATGGCCACCAAACTGAAAACATACAAGAGATCTTTCCTGTAATTGTCAGTTGCAAATTATTTTACCACAAGGCTGATGAAGTTGTACGTCTGGCAGTGAGCATCTGGGGGGACTGCAGCTATGCAGCTCCTATGGACGAGCCACCACTGGCTGGCAGCAAGGTGCCAGTAACATCATCTACTGTATGAATTACTAAACATAAAAAAAGTAACTTTTCATTTCTTCTCTTTCAGGTCACCTGCCGCTTCTTGTGTGTTTAAAACAAAAACTGTTGCCTATTATCTTGTATTATCACACCTTGCTTCTCCCAACAGGCTGGTTGTTGGGCTGGTAATCTGATGATGAAACACACTCATCCTGGATTCCAGTCAGACATATTCCTCACCTTGCTGGCTGCTGATGCTGAACTAACCATTGGCGACTCCAGTGATGCTTCCATCACTCATGTGAACCTGGAACAGTTCCTCAAGACTGATATGTCAAGGAAAGTTATACTTTCCATCTCTCTGCCACCTGCAACTGCGAACACCAAGGTAGTGGACTACTGCATGATGTAGATTCCTTCAGTGTCTGGAGGTGGGAAGTACAGTGCCTGTACTCTGAAGGATGAGTGAGGATGTTGTAGTTCTGATATTAATCACTTCCTTTGTAATTAACTACAATTATTAGTTCACTCAGAGAGTTAATTAACAAACGGTACAATTACTAGAGAATTGTATGTTTATTCTGGTTAAGATAAGGTAAGATCAGTTGGGATTTTTAAACCCCGAGAGTTCAACAATGTCTACTTCAGAGATACCTACAATAGACCGTCTATTAACTTGCACTTCTCTAACACATTTTCTCTGCTACACTATTTCAAAATTGTGGCATACTTTCAATGACCACTCTTTGGAATTGGACTAGCACGGTGCCACTTCTGGGATATAAATTAGGAGTTCTGCGTGTTGGACTATGGGATTTTTCCCTCCATCTGGTGATCTCGCAGGCAGCCTGTCTGTGTGTCAGGCCATTGCTTTGTTGGGAGGCCTAGTAAATATGTAAGCAAGTAAGTCGATTTAGGCACACATACACATAAGTACAATTATCATATACTGTAAATTATCCACCAGGATAACCTGTAAAAGTCAGTGACTTATTTTCATTGGAGTCCTTGTAATATTGTATTTAAACCTTAAAAGTTAAAATGGCTAAGAAACTTGACTGTGTGAAAATCAGTTAAAATAAAATGAGTTATACTAGTAAGAAAGTAAACTAAGATATTTACATTAACATTAAAAAGAGGACCAGTACATGAATGTTAGCTATACAAGAAATCACTCTCCTCCCTTTCTGTAGCTTCATTCATTAGGTACCTTGTCTCTTCCTGAACTGGCTGAGGAATGCCTAAACAAGTGTTTAGCACTGGCTGGTTCCACAAGTTTGTTACATCATAATAAGTTTTCTAGCAAAAGTTCTTTAGCAGATCGCACGGCAGCAAGTAATTTCCCTGCTGAATTGCAGGAAATTGTTTGTGAGGGTTGACTGAGCCATGGAAAGTGTTTAATGCTGATGAGACAAGTGTGCACAAAGATGTTAACAAGAACTTGCATCAGTCAGCAAGAGAAAAGTGCTCCAGGATTCAAGGTAGCAAAGGGTTGCTTCAGCTTGCTTCTTTGCAGTAATGCGTCAAGTGATTTCAAGTGTAAGACAACAGTGCATAAGTGTTCGCAATAAAGCTAATAGAATTCTTGGCTTCATATCAAGAAGCATAAATAATAGGAGTCCTCAGGTTGTTCTTCAACTCTATACATCCTTGGTTAGGCCTCATTTAGATTATGCTGCTCAGTTCTGGTCACCGTATTACAGAATGGATATAAATGCTCTGGAAAATGTACAAAGGAGGATGACAAAGTTGATCCCATGTATCAGAAATCTTCCCTATGAGGATAGACTGAAGCCCTGAATCTGCACTCTCTAGAAAGACGTAGAATTAGGGGGGGGGGGGGATATGATTGAGGTGTATAAATGGAAGACAGGAATAAATAAAGGGGATGTAAATAGTGTGCTGAAAATATCTAGCCTAAACAGGACTCGCAGCAATGGTTTCAAGTTGGAAAAATTCAGATTCAGGAAGGATATAGGAAAGTACTGGTTTGGTAATAGAGTTGTGGATGAGTGGAACAAACTCCCAAGTACAGTTATAGAGGCCAGAACGTTGTGTAACTTTAAAAATAGGTTGGATAAATACATGAGTGGATGTGGGTGGGTGTGAGTTGGACCTGATAGCTTGTGCTACCAGGTCGGTTGCCGTGTTCCTCCCTTAAGTCAATGTGACCTGACCTGACTAGGTTGGGTGCATTGGCTTAAGCCGGTAGGAGACTTGGACCTGCCTCGCATGGGCCAGTAGGCCTTCTGCAGTGTTCCTTCGTTCTTATGTTCTTATGTTCTTATAAAACCACCCAGGGCAACACAGGTTTAGAGCAGGTCACTCCTGCCTGTCCCAGCTACTGGACCATTATGACAAGGTCCTGGATGCTTTAGAGGATAAAATACAGATGTAGTATACACAGACTTTGCAAAAGGAAAGCCTTCGACAAGTATGACCATGGTATAATAGTACACGAAATGCGTGATAAAGGAATAACAGAAAAAATTGGTAGATTTGATCTATAACTTCATAATAAATAGAACACAAAGAGTAATAGTAAACAGATTAAAGTCTGAGGCAACTATGGTGAAAAAGCCCTGTTCCACAAGGCACAGTACTTGCTCCCATCCTGTTGTGCATCCTCATATCTGACATAAACAGAGATGTAAGCCATAGCTTCATGTCTTCCTTTGCGGATGACACCCGAATAGCCATAAGTGTTCTCCATCAAAGACACCACAAGACTCCAAGCGAACATCAGTCAAATCTTCAAATGCGCCACTGAAATTAAGATGGTATCAGGGTATACAACAAATTCTAACCACACAGAGTGAAAAATTAATGTGAAGGACCTGGGAGTGATAGTCAGAGGGTCTCGCCTTCAAAAACCACTACAATGTATCTATCTCATCTGCCAGAAAAATTATAGGATGGATAATAAGAACCTTCAGAACTAGGGATGCCAAACCAGTGATGATTCTCTTCAAATCGCTTATTCTCTCTAGGCTGGAACATTGCAGGCAGGCAAAATTGCTGACCTGGAGTGTACAGAGAACTTTCATGGCACACAAGTATGATCAAGCACCGAAATTACTGGAAATAGTTGAAGTCCCTTGATTTGTATTCCCTGGAATGCAGGCAAGAAAGATACATGATAATATACACTCGGAAAATCCTAGAGGGATTAGTACTAAACTTGCACACAAAAATCATTCCCTACAAAAGCAAAAGATTCAGTGGGAGATGCAATATTCCCCCAATGAAAAGCAGGGGCACCACATATACACTAAGACAACATAAAAATTGTCAGGGGCCCAGGACTGTTCAACTGCCTCACAGCATACATAAAGGGGCTTACCAATAGACCCCTGTCTGTCTTCAAAAAGGTGCTGGATAGGCACCTAAAGTCAGTACCTGACCAGCCAGTCTGTGGTTTGTACATCGGTTTGCATGTGGCCAAAAGTAACAGCCTGGTTGATCAGACCCTGATCCACTGTGAGACCTGGTCTCAGAGTCAGGGGGGCATTGACACATGAAACCCTCTCCAAGCATACTCCAGGTATGCCATACCAGTACATAATTTGGAGGTTACACCCGTCAGCATGGATGACAAGAATTATTTATTGACTGCTTTAAGCATTACTTTATTCCTGAAGTCAAGTTGTGCCTGTAGACAGTAAGCCTACTTGCTAGTTCTCATACTTCCCACTGGAGCGAGTTGTTGTGGGCCTAGTTCCCTAAGTCCCTGCCAGAGGGCAGGTGCCTCTCCTTGACCTGTGGCCTACTTGTGAACAGCTCCCCTCCTGGACTGGCTTCGGCACACCTCACACTGCCCGTTGTGAACTCCATCACTCCAATAAAGAAGCTAGTCTATGGCTGTATATTTTACCTTCTGTGCTACCTGGCAAATTACTAGACCAACCCTAAAAGACAATTAAAACGTACCTCTCCAGCAAGAATCTTGTCAAGGTTCTCTTCTCTTGATAATTCCCGTACTTGTTGGATGTTAACCCACATGTAAAAATTGTATTTTCATCTCCAAATACATCTTTAGTACAACCACTGGATAGTGTAGTTATTAGATCATTTAAGTTTAACTACACCGAACTTGCACACAAAAATCACTCGCTACGAAAGCAAAAGACTTGGCAGACGATGCAACATCCCCCCAATGAAAAGCAGGGGTGTCACTAGCACGTTAAGAGACCATACAATAAGTGTCAGGGGCCCGAGACTGTTCAACTGCCTCCCAGCATACATAAGGGGGATTTCCAACAGACCCCTGGCAGTCTTCAAGCTGGCACTGGACAAGCACCTAAAGTCGGTTCCTGACCAGCCGGGCTGTGGCTCGTACGTTGGTTTGCGTGCAGCCAGCAGCAACAGCCTGGTTGATCAGGCTCTGATCCACCAGGAGGCCTGGTCACAGACCGGGCTGCGGGGGCGTTGACCCCCGGAACTCTCTCCAGGTAAACACACAAGTGATGAAAAAACTAGTTGCATCACTGGACACTACCACCTGGCAGTACCAAACATTTGAATAAATTTAACATTGGATATATCAGCTGTGCTAGAAGTGCATGGAAGGAACTGCCACAGTCAACATTAAATGCAGCCTGGGGAAAGTTATGATGAAGTGTAGTGAATTCTTTCACTGGTTTTTCCCTTACACGAGTCAGGTGCAGGAAATAGTTCAGCTGGCAAGAAGATTACCAGGTGATGGCTTTGAAGATGTGAAGGAAGATGTGAATGATCTCTTAGAAGATGATGAAGACAAGTCCAGAGGAAATGTTGGCAGAGCTTAATGCACAGATACAAGGGAGGAAGGTAACAGAGGAAGGTAACAGAGGAAGGTAACAGAGGAAGGTAACAGAGGAAGGTAACAGAGGAAGGTAACAGAGGAAGGTAACAGAGGAAGGTAACAGAGGAAGGTAACAGAGGAAGGTAACAGAGGAAGGTAACAGAGGAAGGTAACAGAGGAAGGTAACAGAGGAAGGTAACAGAGGAAGGTAACAGAGGAAGGTAACAGAGGAAGGTAACAGAGGAAGGTAACAGAGGAAGGTAACAGAGGAAGGTAACAGAGGAAGGTAACAGAGGAAGGTAACAGAGGAAGGTAACAGAGGAAGGTAACAGAGGAAGGTAACAGAGGAAGGTAACAGAGGAAGGTAACAGAGGAAGGTAACAGAGGAAGGTAACAGAGGAAGGTAACAGAGGAAGGTAACAGAGGAAGGTAACAGAGGAAGGTAACAGAGGAAGGTAACAGAGGAAGGTAACAGAGGAAGGTAACAGAGGAAGGTAACAGAGGAAGGTAACAGAGGAAGGTAACAGAGGAAGGTAACAGAGGAAGGTAACAGAGGAAGGTAACAGAGGAAGGTAACAGAGGAAGGTAACAGAGGAAGGTAACAGAGGAAGGTAACAGAGGAAGGTAACAGAGGAAGGTAACAGAGGAAGGTAACAGAGGAAGGTAACAGAGGAAGGTAACAGAGGAAGGTAACAGAGGAAGGTAACAGAGGAAGGTAACAGAGGAAGGTAACAGAGGAAGGTAACAGAGGAAGGTAACAGAGGAAGGTAACAGAGGAAGGTAACAGAGGAAGATAACAGAGGAAGATAACAGAGGAAGATAACAGAGGAAGATGAAGAACCTGACAAAGATTTATTTCTTTACAAAGGTTACAATGTATAATTATAGTTTTGATTTTAGATAAAAAGAAAGCCACTTCTCATGCCGGGGCATTTCGGGCAGACTAATCCTAATACACTTAAATTTCGGGCAGACTAATCCTAATAATTAAATTTCGGGCAGACTAATCCTAATACAGTGGACCCCCGCATAACGATTACCTCCGAATGCGACCAATTATGTAAGTGTATTTATGTAAGTGCGTTTGTATGTGTATGTTTGGGGGTCTGAAATGGACTAATCTACTTCACAATATTCCTTATGGGAATAAATTCGGTCAGTACTGGCACCTGAACATACTTATGGAGTGAAAAAATATCGTTAACCGGGGGTCCACTGTACTTAAATTTCGGGCAGACTAATCCTAATACACTTAAATTTCGGGCAGACTAATCCTAATACTTAAATTTTGGGCAGACTAATCCTAATACTTAAGACTACTCAAGTCTAGACAGGTTAAGAGTAATAAATATTTTTTCTTACAATTAACAATGCAACAGTTACATGAACAACTGCATGTTGCTGCTAAACTAGCAGACTTTCAGTGAAGAAGACCCTGGCAAATCTAGGAATACTGCTCTGAAATGGAGTCTAGAGCAGCTGATGATGCCTTACCATCAGCTGTATAATGTATTACAGACCAGAGATGCATTATAAAATTTGTCCATACACCAGTAAAAATATCAACTTTAGTACCAGAACCTCAACCATCCACTTCAGCTCAGTAGGGCTAAAGCATCCCTCTCCACTCTCTTCACAATCATCCACAAACACCAGCAACCACGGTTTAAGGTAGGAAATATTATTTCTGTAGCATTTGTACCTCTAAGCAATGCATTAAACATAATGCATCACAACAATGAACAACAATTACATTATTTTTATTTTTGTAAGATTTGGAGACCTAGTTAAGTTTAATATGTTTATTATGCACCCCATACCCATCCTGTGGGCGGTAGTCAAAAGATTACAGAGGTACATAATGGGTCCAGGGACTGGGCCTCAAAGTTTTGATGGCTGAGCAAGTTAGAGGTAATGAATTCACAATTTACAAAGGTAATGAACTCCAGGTAGGTCTAGTCACAATCATGACAAGTTACAAAGGTATTAACAGATTCTAGAGGTACACAATGGGTCCAGGGACTGGGCCCCAAAGTTTTGATGGCTGAACTAGGTACAAGGTAATGAACTCACAAGTTACAAAGGTAATGAATACTGTAAGAATGGTTACTTGCATTTATACATGACTACAATCATGAACAAATTTTAGAGTAATGAGCAATTCACACTTCCACACCCGGTCACAACTGTAGTGAGTTATTGGTGCAAATATTGATTGTTGTCACACACACACACACACACACACACACACACACACACACACACACACACACACACACACACACACACACACACACACACACACACATAAACACACACCACACACACACACACACATAAACACACACACACATAAACACACACACACATAAACACACACATAAACACACATAAAACACACACATAAACACACACACATAAACACACACACATAAACACACACACATAAACACACACACACACACACACACACACACACACACACACACATTTTTTGGGGTACAAGATACCTAACCCTATTTTTCCCATACATTCTTCAGTTTCTTTTACACAATTTTTGTCATGCATACAATTTTCAGGAGCATAACTACCATGTTAATCAACAGTCTACTGTACTTCTTAGATCTCTACTTCAAAGATATCTATTTCAAAGATCTCTACTTTTGGCAGCAATTAAATACATATAGTATATATACATAAAATTACATCGATTACAATACATATAAAATAATAATAAAAGCAATATATCAGTATATACATATAAAATTATGGTAACTTTATTTCAGCTACGGACCTTCAAGATCACACCGAGGGCTGTCAATGCACATGCATACGTCAATGCTTGTTTTAAGATGGAATTGAATGCTGGAGATGGCTTCAAGGTCCTCACGAAACCCACTCTCTTATTGGGAGGAATTAACCCCCAGTTTGTAAGTTGTTACTGTTACTCTGACAGTTGTTACTGGTACTGTACTATGACAGTAATCAGTCAGTCCCCACAGCATCTAAGTCACTGTTTCCTGTCAATTGGGTTTGGGTATAATTTTTTGTGCTATGCACTGGTCTCAGACCAAGCAGCATTAGGAATAATATTAGGAGATAAGTAAATAATGAAAATTATTGTTATAGGTATGCAGTTAGAAGCCTGAGTAGATCTATAACCCACTATGATAACATGAACATAGATAAGTATGTTTATGGAGCAACGTGCAATGTGAACAGACTGATGTTGTAGTGGCCAGACTTAGGCTTGGTTACAAGTACTGACTGATGTTGTAGTGGCCAGACTTAGGCTTGGTTACAAGTACTGACTGATGCTGTAGTGGCCAGACTTAGGCTTGGTTACAAGTACTGACTGATGTTGTAGTGGCCAGACTTAGGCTTGGTTACAAGTACTGACTGATGTTGTAGTGGCCAGACTTAGGCTTGGTTACAAGTACTTCTGGCAGTTTGGGGGAGACACAGATGATGATCAAACTAAATGTAAATTATGTGATCAGACATATGGTCACTCTTGAACACTATGTGCTTAATTGTCCACTTATTGAGGAATACAGAGACACAGTATAATAACCTATGTGACATGTCAAGATATCTTAAGGAGATGCTTGTCTCGGAGATTCTTGTAGGTTTAGATATTGCTCGTAGCAACAGGCAGTTACTCATTGTGGTTGTGAATTTGGTTACTTATGGGTCCTGGTCGTGTAATATGTTTGTTGAAATCTCCTGTTAGTAGTAGGTGGTCTTTATTCATGTGTGCATCAGTAATCATGTTTCCTATTTTTTCACTAAAGTGATAAATGTTTGACTGTGGTACTCTGTAGATGTTTACAACTGTGAGGGGTTTTTGCAGGTCTTTTGATTTAATCCTACAGTAGAGAAGAAATTAAGTTTGTTGGCAGTGTCTGAAGGCTGGATACATATATTCAGATATACTGAGAGAAACATACACCAACAGATATACTGAGATACATATACATGTATGTACATACTAAGATACATATAAGGAGAGATACATATATTAACAGATACATGCTGCCAAGACTGAGAATTTCTTGCTTAACAAGAAAGTGAGTGATGTTAAGACACTGTTGGATGCTGCTAAGATTATGGAGAGGGAGATAATACCAGACAGCCATCCACAAGATGCTTCGCCAGAGTACCGCAAGTCTCTAGCCGTCTCTCTGTTCTATAAGGTTAGTACTGAGTCTCTTACTGTCTCTGTCCTCCACAAGATCAAGATCTCCTAAAACTGTAGAGTACTGGACTCTAAGGTCAAGGGACCAGAGTTCAGTTTCCGGAACAGGCGGAGACCTGGGATCAGTCTCCTTACACTTCTCTATACCTTAATTCTCCTCTTCCTATCTCTCATCTCCCTTCCCCTTCTCATTATCCTTCCTGTACACCCTCCTCACTTTTCCCTCCCCCCTTCCCTACGTCTTCTCTCTTTTCTCGCTCCTCTCCTCCTACAAAAACAATCTTTCCATTCAATTATTGATGTAGAATGTCATCTAAGTAATTTAGTAACTCTAAGTACAGGTACACGTATGTACAATTATCACACATCGTAATGTGTAAGACATGCATGTTGTAAGAAGCGACTAAAATACCAGGAGCAAGGGGCTAGTAACCCCTTCTGTATAAATTACTAATTTTAAAAAGAAAATCTTTTGTTCTTTTTAGGTCACCTAGCCTCAGTGAGACATAACCAATGTGTTGAAAAAAAAGTAACGTGTAAATTCTTCACCGTTACAACACAAAAAAAGCCAGCCAAGTGACTTATTTCCATTGTGGTTCTTGTGATATATTATTACTTAAAGCCCAGCTGTAAGAAACGGTAGAATTCATGGTAGTAACCAAAGAAACTATTTAAAACCCATATAGCATGTGTTACAGCTCCGATGTATTCGACTTTCAGACAGTGGTGGGGTTCCTGGGTGAGAAAGTCAGTCCCAGGTTCCAGAGTGCCGGACCCAACATTGTACGACCACTTTCATCTGGTCGACAGAGTTTTGATATGAACCAGGAGACCTGGCCAGTAGGTGAACCTGTACCGAAGCTGGAGTCAGCAATACAGATATCAGGTAATTGAGTAATGACCTCTTACTGGTACCTTATGTCAAGGTGTATAAATAATGAATAATAATAATTATAATGGTAATTATAAAAGTAGCCACAATAATAATTAATAATAATAATGTGGGATGTAGATGGGGTGACAGTGATAGGTTGGTAGACAGCAACCACCCAGGGAGGTACTACTGTCCTGCCAAGCGAGTGTAAAATGAAAGCCTGTAATTGTTTTACATGTCGGTAGGATTGCTGGTGTCTTTTTTTTTTTTCTGTCTATTGAACATACGAGATTTCAGGCAAGTCTTGCTACTTCTACTTGCACTTAGGTCACACTACACATACATGTACAAGGATATATGTACACACCCCTCTGGGTTTTCTCTATTTTCTTTCTAGTTCTTGTTCGTGTTTATTTCCTCTTATCTCTATGGGTAAGTGGAACAGAATTCTTCCTCTGTAAGCCATGCGTGTCATAAGAGGCGACTAAAATGCCGGGAGCAAGAGGCTAGTAACCCCTTCTCCTGTATACATGACTAAATTTGAAAGGAAAAACTTTTGTTTTTCCTTTTGGGCCACCCTGCCTCAGTGGAATACGGCTCATACGTTCAAAGAACAATAATAATAGTAATGTGGGATGTAGATGGGGTGACATAGTGATAGGTTGGTAGACAGCAACCACCCAGGGAGGTACAGTGGTCTCTCGATAATCGTAGGGCTTGAGAGTTGTAGATTTCGGAAATCATGTCGATATTTTCATATAAACATGGGCTCGCTAATCGTAGATTGACTCGCGAATAGTAGTTCATCCGGGATGTGTACGCGCGCTGTGAGCCGGGGCGGCCTCCCTTCCCAGCCAGTGTGGCATTGTTTACCAGTGAGTGACGGTCCCCTCACTTGCTCCTACGAAATATTTCATAATACGTACACCTACCATTTGGTAGGGTGTGCGAAAGAAGAAAATTAAAGGTGAATACAGGAAAGAGTAAGGTTATGAGGATAACAAAAAGATTAGGTGATGAAAGATTGGATATCAGATTGAGGAGAAGAGTATGGAGGAGGTGAATGTATTCAGATATTTGGGAGTGGACGTGTCAGCGATGGGTCTATGAAAGATGAGGTGAATCATAGAATTGATGAGGAAAAAGGGTGAGTGGTGCACTTAGAGTCTGTGGAGACAAAGAACTTTGTCCTTGGAGGCAAAGAGGGGAATGTATGAGAGTATAGTTTTACCAACGCTCTTATATGGGTGTGAAGCATGGTGATGAATGTTGCAGTGAGGAGAAGGCTGGAGGCAGTGGAGATGTCATGTCTGAGGGCAATGTGTGGTGTGAATATAATGCAGAGAATTCGTAGTTTGGAAGTTAGGAGGAGGTGCGGATTACCAAAACTGTTGTCCAGAGGGCTGAGGAAGGGTTGTTGAGGTGGTTCGGACATGTAGAGAGAATGGAGCGAAACAGAATGACTTCAAGAGTGTATCAGTCTGTAGTGGAAGGAAGGTGGGGTAGGGGTCAGCCTAGGAAAGGTTGGAGGGAGGGGTAAAGGAGGTTTTGTGGCGAGGGCTTGGACTTCCAGCAGGCATGTGTGAGCGTGTTTGATAGGAGTGAATGGGGACAAATGGTTTTTAATACTTGACGTGCTGTTGGAGTGTGAGCAAAGTAACATTTATGAAGGGGTTCAGGAAACCGCAGGCCGGACTTGAGTCCTGGAGATGGGAAGTACAGTGCCTGCACTCTGAAGGAGGGGTGTTAATGTTGCAGTTTAAAAACTGTAGTGTAAAGCACCCTTCTGGCAAGACAGTGATGGAGTGAATGATGGTGAAAGTTTTTCTTTTTCGGGCCACCCTGCCTTGGTGGGAATCGGCCAGTGTGATAATAAAAAAATAAAAAAAATACACCTACCATCCGACTTACGGCCTGCTCGACTTACGACCACTTGATTTATGACCGTGTTTTTTATGCCAAATTTCTGGGAAATAAACAACTATTTGTGTTGTACAGTGTTTATCCTAAACCTTACAGTACTAACAGTACAGTACTAACAACATAAAAAGTAAAGTAAAACATGAAATACCAAAATAAAACAATAAAATAGTCATTACAAAAATGTTTTGTTGATATTCAGTAGTAAAGTTCGACTTACGACCATTTCGACTTGGGACCAGTTTCTCTGAACCGAACTCGGTCATAAGTCGGATAGTAGGTGAATTCCTTTTATTATAGTACTTGCAAGTACTAAATAAGCTACCATGGCTCCAAAGAAAGCTCCTAGTGCCAAACCTTTGGTAAAGAAGGTGAGAAATACGATTGAATTTAAGAAAAACATCATTGAACAATATGAAAGTGGCTTAAGTGTGGCCGAACTGGCCAGGATGTATTTACAATTTGAGCACACATACAGAGGTACAAAAAAATACAGATAAGAGCAGCATGCCAAAGCCACTTATACTATGCATAGCATTACGGGCTGGCTTAAAATTAACTTAAGATTAACTAAGCAATGATGAAATCAGTGATAAAACATTAATGTAAACAGATTACTATAAAGCACAAGTGAGTATGACAAAGACAGGTCATATGGTTGCATGCATTGTTGTACATTCAGTCGTATGGAGTATTCTGTTAGGTAGTGTATTTAAAAAATAATAAAGTTAGATTTGGTTTTAGGTTTAACATTTATGTGATATAATTGTGAGAAACATTTAGGATATACAATTTATAAGGTTCAGTTATTCAGTATTTATTTGGTTTTGGGTGAGTAAGTGATCTTGAGAAGAGACTTGAATTTATAAACAGGTAGTGTTTCTTTTATATTTACAGGTAATGAATTCCAGATTTTAGGGCCTTTATGTGCATTGAGTTTTTGCATAGTGTGAGATGGACACGAGGAACATCAAAGAGTGATCTGTGCCTTGTGTTATGGTCATGTGTTCCTGTTGAGGTTGGCAAGGAGATGTTTGAGGGGAGGGTTAATATCAGAGTTAAGTGTTCTATGTATGTAATAGGTGCAGTAATAAGTATGGATGTTTTGTATGGTGAGTAGTTTAGTGTATTGAATATTGGTGGAGTGTGCTGCCTGTAGTGAGAATTTATCATTCTAACTGCAGCCTTTTGTTGGGTAATTAGTGGTCTGAGATGGTTAATTGTTGTTGAGCCCCATGCACAAATTCCATAGGTGAATAGGGTAAATAAGAGAGTGATATAGGGCCAGGAAGGCTGACTGTGGAGCATAGTACCGTATCTCCGATAGTATGCCTACAGTCTTGGAAATTTTCTTAGAAATTTGTTGTATATGTGTATGAAATTTGAGTCTATTATCAAGGTGGATTCCTAAGAATTTTCCCTCTGTTAGCTTTGTGATAGGTGATCTGTTTATCGTCATGTTAAGAGATACATCTGTAGCTCTGTTACCAAACTGAATGAAGTAGGTTTTGTCAATGTTTAATGTAAGTTTGTTAGTCCTCATCCAGGTAGATATTTTCTGTAATTCGGTATTTACAGTACAGTATTGGCTAGCGTGACTGGGCTCGGGTGGGAGAAGACGTATGTAGTGTCATCTGCAAATAGTGTGGGTTTGAGTAATTGCGAAGCATTTGGTAGGTCATTTATGTATAGGAGAAAGAGAAGAGGGCCAAGGACACTTCCCTGTGGGACACCAACTGTAATTGGTTGTGCAGAAGATTTTGCCCCATTTGCGTACACATATTGGCTTCTGTTGCTGAGGTATGACTTGAGGTAGTTGAGGGAGTGCCCTCTTATACCATAGTGTGACAATTTTACGTGGAGCAAGTCATGGTCAACTGTATCAAAAGCTTTACGTAAGTCAATGAAGATCCCCAGTGGGACTTTTTTCTCTATTGCAGTGTATATATGTTCTAGCATGTGTATAATAGCATCATTAGTATTTTTATTAGGCCTGAATCCAAATTGGCAGGGGTTGAGTATGTTTTGGGAGAAAAGGTGGGAGTAGATTCGTTTTATGAATTAATTTTTCGAAGATTTTGGGGAGGGTGTAAGTTGATATTGCCTATATTTATTTAACTCTTTTTGGTTCCTCCTTTTGGATCGGGGTGACCCTTGATTTGAACTGTAGGGAAGGTGGGGGGATTCGGGTTTGTTAGTGTTGCAATGTTGGTGATAGCACTTGTGACATTTTTTTGATATAAAGGGTGTAAGTATTTAAATCCCGCCTTGTTTTTTAGTGCGTTGATAATAAGGGACTTGTAGGGGTTTATGGGGAGCGGGAACAGTGTTTGGGTATTTGGGGGTGAGTAGTCATTTGGTGGTATCTGAGTTTGGGGATTTTTTTGCAAGGTTTTGTCCTATAGGGGAAAAGAAATCATTGATTTGTTTGCTGTTTCGTTGGGGGGATTGGGGTTCATCTGTTTTGCAAATTTTATTTCGCTTTTTCGTGATATCTTTTTTTTTCCCAGAATTTCTATGGGGTTTTCCGGTCTTTTTTATCCCGAAAATTTGGGATAATCTGTTCTCATAATAAAATTTTTTTTTGCCTTTTTATCAGGGGGTTAGAATTGATGAGAAACTTTTTTGTTTGGTCTCTGGTTATGTGACCCTTTCTGTACTTTTTTTCATTTGGTTTTTTGATTTATGGTTTTGAGAATGCGGGGTTTCCAGGGCTGTTCATCTCTTAGCTGTTATCTTTTATTTTTTTTGGGGCGTGCTTGTTTAGAGGTATTGGGTCTTTTTTAAAAAAAATTTTTAAATTTCTTCGTCAATACTGTAAGTTTTCTACTCGTGGCCAGTAAATGTTTGCTACTGTTTGTTGTGAAGTTTTAAAAGGGCTGCCTCATTGTAAAAGTCTGAAGGTGATTTAGTAGTGTTTTGGGGGTAGTTTACCAGAGTTGTTATGGGGAAAGTAGGGTAGGGGTCTGTGTTTTATCTGAAAATTTATGCCTGATTTAAGGGGGATAGGTGTTGGCCCAGATGGGTCAAGTAGGGAAACCTAGTCTTGTAACTCTTGTGGGTTTTGTTACTGTTGGTAGCACATAAGTTAC